GTGGAGTGGCCTGTGCTGTGTGCAGGAGGCTCGGGCCCCTTCCCCTCCCCGAGGGGCGTCCTCTGTGGCAGGTCTCCACCCGCCTCCTTCCTTTTCTCCAGCTGGTACAGCTGGATGGCCTCCTCAATGCCATCGTCACTGCTGGAGCCGGATGCCTTACATACCAGGGCTGTGCTCTTGGCTCGCTTTGCCCTCCGCCCGGGGCCCACACTCCTCCTGACCACACCTTTACTCTGGGCTGCTTCTGCAGGGTGGCTGGCAGTGGCGGCTGGCTTCGCGCCATCCACACTCTCTGGCTCAACGGTGGCCCTGGACCTGAGGCCTCGGGGCCGTGTGGTCACCTTTGCTAGCCTAGGAGGTTTCCGGAAGACAAAGTCCTTGTAGGCTCCCATCACATCCTGCCGATGTGCCTTGGCCGTCGGCTCTTTGCTGGATCTAAATGCCAATCTGGCCGCATTATTGCTGGGATCAGGTTTCATGTCCATGGAAACATCACATCTTGGGGTCTCATGCTGTCTTTTCTCGTTCAGAAACTGTTCGATCTCTGCCTGGATGCTCTGGTCGAAGGAGTCGTCACTGCTAACACTAACTGGGGAGGCGGAGCCCCGGTCCTGGCCAGCTCCCACGCGGCTGCCAGGGGCGCCTCCTGAGCTGGGTGGGAGCTTCAGAGGACACGGGGCAGTCGGGGTGCTACTCAGACGAACCTCGAGTTTGGACCGCCTGCCCCCGTCTGTGGCCCCAGGCGGCTGGGTGGCCCCACTCTTGGCCTTTAGGTACTCCTGGATCGCTTCTTCGATGTCCCGGTCCACGGAGTCATCGCTGTCTGAATCCAGCACCAAGGGGCCAAAATCTGCTCCTTGTTCCTCCCTCGAGGGCACAAAATCAGCAGCAAGACCACAGGCGGCAAATGCAGGGTTGGCGGCCAGCCTGGTGTCCCGGCCTTTCTCTGCCCTCTGGCTCCTCTGTAGGGCAAGCTCATCGCTCATGCCCAGAGCAGCCTTGTCGCTCTGGAGCGTGCTGATGACCATCTGCACTTTGGCACTCACAGAAGCTCTCGAGACACCCTCTTTCGGCTCCGAGAAGCACCCGGGAAACCTAAAGCTCCCAGGTGTGCCAAAGGCCTCCCATTTTGACTGGAGAGCAACCACAGGAGAAGCGTTCATTAGAAACATTCTAGCAGACAGGGAGGGATGTGCAGAGAGGTGATTCTTTATTTTTCTGCCTGTTTCACATCCTGGGAGGAAAGAGAGGATGTTGGTAGGATGCTACCCTGTTGGCACACACGGCCACCGAGGAACAGTGCACCGGGCTAGAGTCCAGAGGGCCAGGTCAGAGGCCGATGCCGGGTAAGCTGGGGGTGCCGGGCAGGTCACTCATGCTTCCTAGGCTTCGGTGTGCTCAGCTGCAGGGGAAGCGCCGGCTGTGGAGACCGAGGAGGGAACCGCTCTGAGCCACAGGCACCGCACTTACACAGAAGCACATGCCATGGTCCCTTCCTGTCCTGTGTCCCTACTCTGGCCTTCCATCTTCTTGGTAAGAGAATCGAGGTTTTATCTACAGTGAAGGCTGTCAAGAGGTGCCAGCGAGAGATCAAGTCCAGACGTGCTTCTTCATGGGTTAAACAGAATGACTATGTGAATCTAAGCTTAGTGAGACTTCGTGGGTCATTTCACTCTTGATGCGAAAAACAAGCTCCTGAAATAAAAAGTGATATGATATGAACAATTAAAAAATTACTTCCTCGAACATCTTGAAGGAGTCACTTATACTAAAGCCTTTTTATTTAAAAACATCAAACGTGTATCTGTCAGGTAGTCTTACGGGCGCGTATTGCACTATCTAGCTAATTAGTAGAGAAGCTGCCCCAAACGCTGCCGTTGAGCCCTTTTTTATCCAGTGCGGTTACTCGGGCTCCCGCATCTCAGAGCAAAGGTGGCTGCACCAGCAGAGCTACTAGGCCTGTCTTGGGGACACTTTGAAGCCATGCTCGCACACAGCCTTTCCAGTAAAGGTTAGGACCACTCCTGCAGAGGGGAGCACGGCCTACACTGGAAAGAGTCACAGAACTATTCATTCCTAACCTGCTCTTCTGATCTCTCCTGACCACCTGCCTGCCCATGCACCCTCACACTGGAATGCAAAATAGCTGAGATGCAAGAGAAGAGCTCCGCAGCATTTATAGGAACAGGGGAAGTGAATTTCCACCCCAAAAGAGCACCATGTAAGGCACCCATACAACCCCAGTGGGTAGGCTGGAGCTAGCCTGCTTCTCTGCTTTGCTTTCAACTTGGATCCTCTTCTATCAGGAGCTTTGGTCCCGACAAGCACGTAATCTTGTATCTACGTACCATAGTCCTTTCTTTTTTTTTTTTTATTTTTTTTTAAATTTATTTATGATAGTCACACACACACACACAGAGAGAGAGAGAGGCAGAGACACAGGCAGAGGGAGAAGCAGGCTCCATGCATCGGGAGCCCGACGTGGGACTGGATCCCGGGTCTCCAGGATCGCGCCCTAGGCCAAAGGCAGGCGCCAAACCGCTGCGCCACCCAGGGATCCCTACCATAGTCCTTTCTAAGAAAGGGTGGCCAGCCACCTAGGTATAGACATGCCCAGGCAGTTGAAACCAGCAATTAACCAGAGGGCACAACAAATTCAGAAGGAAGCCGCTTGCTATGACAGATCCGTGCCCAAAGAGTGAAACTGTAATGTAAACACATTTATTGTAATTCCTTGAAATTCTCAAGACCAGTTTTAGTGGGAAGATACAGCAGTCAATGTTTGCAAAGCATTTCAGGGATTATCTCTTCACCCCACCCCCCACCCCCCTGCATCCTTTGTTCACTTCTGAAATAGACTTTTGGCTGCCAGGGTAAGGAAAATCAGAAACACCTAGTTCAGAGACTGAAGCTTCAGCTAGTAAAGATTTTTTAATTTTTTTTTTGGGGGGGGTGGGGGGAGAAAGAGCATGAATTTAAGGACTTGAAATTAACATTTGGAACACGGCTAATTCACAACTGTCCTGGGCCACAGCTCTGATGCCAGGGGCAGCGTGTGTATATCTCGCTGCTGCCGGCCACAGCCTCTCCTGAGACATCACCCTCTGAAGAGGTTCCCAGTCACAGAGCAGTGGGTATGACGAGGGTGGGCGGGGGGGCTCCTGCATGGGTCAGGGGCCCATGCCCACCTTGTTGAGCTCATTATCTGAGCTGCCTGGGCAAAATGACAGATCGTGAGATGTTCACATCGGCCTTGGGCTGCAAAGAGTCTAAATCAAGAATGTTAACTCCTTAAGCAGCAATACGGTGTTTAAAAACAGGCCCAGGGATGAACCCAAAGGTGCTGGGCGGCAGTAAATTCTACTCTAGAGCAAAGCTGCGGGAGGAAGAACTCTGGTCTCTACCAGCAACGTTCCCTGTGTTCCCCAAGGGACTCCCAGTGAGTGATTTTCTGAATTGTCAAATCACCTAGTGCAAGAATGAGGTTAAAATTTCAGAGGGAATCTCCAGCGACCGCTTGTGGCTTTAAAACAATCAACTACGTAAGATGAATCATTCTGAAAAACTCCCCAAAACTGTACTTGGAGAGAACCGTGAGCTTGCAGCCAGGGGCTCTGGCTTTGTGAAACGGCGGCCCTTAGCCCCAGAGCCCGGACCAGGTGTGGAGGGTGCCTGCAAGGACAGCCAGCCCTGCACCGAAGCCAGGTGGTGCCAACACAGAGAAAGCGGCAGAGGGCACAGGGACATCTTCTCGGTCTGGACAGCAAACCCCAGGGAGGAGAGAACCTTGCTCATGCTTAGTCACCTGAACACTCTGGCTCCCGGCAGCAAACACCCCCAAACACATCTCTCAGCTCACCAAAAGGCGGTTCAGCTCCCGTTCTTCCCTCTTGCGGCAGCTTCGCCCCTGGGTGAGGGAGGTGAGGGTCAGGGTGCCAGGCCCGATGGAGAGCCGGGGAGCCCGGAGTGGGCGTGGGCCTGCGGGAGGGGAGCTCTGCGGGGTCGCCGCGACCTCTCACGGGGCGAAGTCGCCCGGCCTGCGTCTGCGCCTGGGGGCGCGGCGGGCGAGCCCCCCCCCCCCCCCCCGACCGGCCCTCTGACCCCTGGCACCCAGCCCCAGCCCCCAGCCCCGGGGCGCCCGGCCAGGTAAGCGCGAGCACCTCTCGCGGGGCGGGGCCGGCCTGCGCCCGGGTCTGCGCCGGGATTGCGCGGGGCCCGGGGCGCCGGGGGTGGGGGTGGGGGTGGGGGCCGACGGGGCCGGCCGGGCCCGCGACCCTCCCGGAAGCCGCGGCCGGGGCGGGGCGGGGCGGCCTTTCCGCCGGAGGGCAGGGCCGGCGGCCGCGCTCGGGGCGCGGGGGGGGGGGGACGCCAGGCCGGAAGCGCCCGCCGCGGGGCCTCACCTGCGCGCACCTGGGCCCGCCCGCGCCGCGGGCTCCGAGGGACGCGGGGCCGCCTCGGGGGCGCACCCCCACCCCACCCCGCCCCAGCCCCAGCCCCGGCCGGGCGGCGGCCCCGGCGCTCCCCCCGCGCCTGGCCCGGCCGCGCTCGCCCCGCCCGCCGCCGCCCCCGGCCCGCCGCCCGCGCGCGCGCCCCGGGGAAGAGAGGGGAGGGCGGGGAGGCCAGGGGCGGGCGCGGCCGGGGAGGCGGCGGGCGGGCGCGGGCGCGGGCGGGCGGGGCGGGCGGGCGGGCGCGGGCGGCGGCGGCGCCCCCTCCCGGACCTACCGGCGGCCGCGCTCCGGAAGCCGTGCCCGGTGGCTGGGCATCATGGGAATGGCACGGCCGAGTTCCGGGGGAGGCGCGCGGCCCGCCGGACCCCCGCCCGCGAGCGCGCGCCCACCTGCCGGCCCCTGCGGGGCGCCCCCGCCCCCGCCCCCGCCCGCGGCCCCCCGCCCCCCGCGCCCCCCGCGCGCCCCGCGCGCCCCGCGCCCCCCGCGCGCCCCTCGGTCCCCCGCGGCCCCCGCCCCCGCGCGCCCAGGCTGGCTCGGCCCGGGGTGTCCCCGCGCCTGGGAGTTCGGGGTGGCTGGCGTGGGGCCCCCGCCCGCCCGCCCTGCCCGAGGCGGGGCCGACCCTGGGGGCCCCGCCCTGTCCGCGGGGCGCCGGCGCGGGGTGGGGGGCGCGCCCGGGGAGCGCGGGAAGGTGGGGAGCCCGAGGGGCTGGCGGACCTGGCCCGGGTGCCGCGCCCGCCAGGCTGCAGCGCTCCTAGAAGTGCCCCCTGAGGGTCCCGCCTGTGCGTGGCCCCGAGCCCGCGGCGCGGTCCTCCGGCCCGGGTGTGCGCCGAGCTCCGCGCGGAGCCTGCCCGCGGGCCTGGCCGGGCCGGCCGGCCGGGCCGCAGCCGCGCCGCTCCCAGCCCCGCATGCCCCGGGCCGCTGCTCTGCTCCGGGGAAGCTGACCAGGCCGCCAGCCTCCTGGGCCTTTAGTTGCGGCCATTGCTTCCCGGCCTGCAGCGCTCCCTCGCCCCAGAGTAAGACATCGGGAACCCAGGAGGGGAGGACAGGCCAGTCCCCCTCCCAGGGAGGCGAGGCAGGTAGGAGGCAACAAGGCTCAGTCGCTGAGGATGGGGTCTCCGAGCACCTGGGCGAGCACCTGGGCATGTGGTCCGTGGGCCTGGCCTGGGGCTGGGGTTCTGGGGGGAAGGTGGGCAGCGGGGTGGAGTGGAAGGGGTTGCATGGCTGGCTTCCTGTGCAGACCTGCAGCTGGTTCTAACATGAGCAGATACATATTAAACAGACATCCCATCCCCGCGGCCTGTTCTGTTCGGGAAGGGGAGCGGAGGGGAGGAGGGGAGCCAGTCTTTTGACGTCCCCCCTCGCCCCCCACCACGAGGAAGTTCTGTTTCCCTCTCTTCGTTCATCTTTGCAGTTTTATGTTTCAGACGTCCCTGCTCACAGTCTGGGTGTCGCAGGTGCTGCTCGGGGTCCCTGGGCCCATGTGGCCAGAGCCTGCCTGGTGGCAGAGGCAGATGGAAAGAAGACACAGTGGCCATCTGTCTGTACATCCCCATTGGCCTCATTGGCCTCCACCCAGATGCCTCTGGGGGGAACTGGGGTTCGTTTCCCATCTAGTATGTTCCAGAGGTTTGACAGGATGAAAGCCAGAGGCTTTTTCCCCACAGGGAATAAGAAGCGGGCAGGGGGGCAGCGGGGGGAGAATTTCTAATCTTGCCAGTCTGGGGAATTTGGGGGCCAAGTGTCAGGAAACCCGTTAAAGCATCGTTGTAATGCCTTAGTGAGTTGTTTTAATAAATCACATCTTTTCACTGTAAGAGTAATACTCGTTCATTAGAGTTTGAGAAAGTGAATCTAATTAATAACCTAACTACGTGGAGATGTGGACTATAACTGTCTTGGCGTGTTTCTTCCCAGTTTTTAAATAGTGCTTGATGAACATTTCTGATGATATGATAGCCACCCCCCACCCCTTATCCGCAGGGGACACGCTCCAAGACCCCTATTGGCCTCCTGAAACCATGGGCATTGCGGACCCATACACAGGCTGTTCACTCCGGTACATACACACCTGTGATTAAGCTTGGCTGGTAAACTAGGCCGAGGTCGAGAGTGACGATAACATAATAAAATAGCCTGGTAGTAACGGCATGCTGTGCTGTGGTTACGTGGCTGTGGTCTTGCTCTCCTGTCGCCCTGTGCTCACCCCTCTAGGATGCCGAGGGGTACAGGCATGGGATGCGTTGGGGGGCTGCTGCTGGCCTGAGCGTCTGGCAGAAGCGCCTGCCTCTGGACCGTGGCCACGGCAGGAACAGAGGTGGGGGGCTGCTTGGAAGTGTCCTTGGAAGTGACCTTAGTGTGTCGTCCAGGTAAATTCCTCAAACAGGCACTACTGAGCCAAAGACTACCACACATTTTGCCATGGGGCCCTCTGGAGGCGCTGATTGATGCGGTGTCCCCCGCCCTGTCCCCACGTCCCCCTGTCTCCTACAGGCCACACTGTGCATTCCGGTTCAGGCTGACTCGGGGAATGGGCCTTTCTTTGCTTTGATTTTCATGCCTTTGACTATTGGTGATGTTGGACATCTTTTGATTTTGCTGGCAGCTGTTTGGAAGGTTGCCTGTATGAGTTCTTACACATTTTTTTTTGTTTTCCTCTCCTTTTTGTACTCTAGAGCTCTACTCATTAAGGGCTTTAGCCCCTCTCTACCATGAACTCGTGTATCACATCAATTTTTCAGCTCGTCTTTTTAACTTTGGAATTCACCTTTTGTTTGTGATGCATAGATTTTAAATCTGTCAGGTTTCCTGATATGGATTCTGGCTTTGGGAAAAAGTCTAGGGTAGCTTTCACCACGCCAAGATTTCATAAGCCTTCCCCAGTTCAGTGGCTAGATTACTAGATAAGACACGAGGGGGACAAGAGTTCAGCTGAGGAAATGAGAGGCCAAAGCGTGTGGTGCGGAGGAAACAGTCTCTTCCAAGGAAGGGTGCTTTCTCCACTTCTGTCCAAAGGCACGGCCTTCAGATAGATATATATGAGCCCCTCCCTCACACACACGCACTCACAGACGCATACATGCACACACATGCATGCACCCACAAACACACACATGCACACAACAGAGGCATGCACGCATGTACCCCCACATACATGCACATGCACGCATACACGTACAAATGCACACACATGCACATACACGCACTTACAGGCACACACACACACATGCATGCACACCCACACATATTTTTAACTTTTGGAAACCTTATCTCTTGCACATTGTAGGATCTTCATGGGAAGAACAAGAAGCAGCATCAGTTTTTCATCAAAACTCTCCTGTCAAGACTCCTGGATGGCTCTGTTGGTCAAGTGTCTGACTCTTGGTTTCGGCTCAGGTCCTGATGTCCTGATCTCGGGGTGGTGGGATTGGGCCTCACATTGGGCTCTACATTCAGCGTGGAGTCTGCTTGAAATTCTCTCTTCCTCTCCCTCTGCCCCTCTTCCCCTTGCTCCTGCCTCTAAAATAAATAAAATAAATCTTTAAAAACAAATACACGACAAATCTCTCTTATCATGAGAGGTGTCGGCTTTGGTGGTGGGGACTCCGGTCCGCCCCTCCCACAGGGGGCCTCCAGTCAGCCCAGGCCCACTGCTTTGAGGAAGGAGAGTCTGTGGCTGTGCTTTTGGCTGGCTGGGCCACTGTGGGAGCAGAGGCAACAGTGGCAGGGCTTCTGGTCAGGCCACTCTCCCCAGAGATGCCTCTGGCCCTCCGTTTGCCCTTTTGTCATGGGAACAGTGGATCCCTAGGGAACTTACTGTCTACATCTGCAAGGAAATGGCCAGGGACACTGGGGACCATAGTGGTGCTAGTAGAGAAGCTGGGGCCCTTCGGATTGTTTCCCTTCACAGAGATAATGATGCTCTCATAAACTCAAATGAAAGAAGGCGCCTCCAACTTGAAGGCGGCTCCCCAAAGACCAGGGGCAGGCGGGTCCTGCTCCTCCTCATCCCTGTCTTTGTGAAATGAGAAATGCACTGGCTCTACTTGTAAGCTGGCCTGAGGCCACACTCACACCGTTCATACAGGGGGTCCCTACGAAGACTGTTCTTGGCTCTTTAAAGCAGAAGACCCCCAGGGACCAGCAGCAGGGTCAGTCAGGTAAGTATGGGCATGGACCTCGCTGGGAAAGAGTGGGGTCTGCCCTTGTGCCCCTAGGACAGGTGGAGGTGAAACCCCCCACCCCAGGTGGTGGCGGTGGCAGGACAGACCCCCAATCTCAGGCTGTGGGGAGTGGCCTGCAGTGGGAGCGATGCCCAGCTGCTGCGTGTTCCTGCCGACTGCTTTCATGCTCGTTTCCTTTTGAAGTCGTGGGCATCTTTGCTTCTATGCATACAAAACTTAGGCGAGATGTTTAATGTACATGGATGCATGCTTGCATGCTCCTATCTGCAGGTGGGGTCATACAGGTGCTCCTCCCAGAGCCAGGGATGGGGCTCAGCCCGTGCCATTCCATTGTTGGAAATTCTTTTCCTTCCAAACCACTATAAACATCTTTCACCTCAGAAATGGCTTTTAATGGCTTTGCTCAGTTTTATTTCTTGAGCATCAGGTTCGTAGAATCACCCTGGCATGGATTTTAGCCAATTTATTACTTACCGTTGCAGGGGCTAACGTGACTTTTACGATTGCTTGTTTATAAGATGGCATCCCAAATGAGAACACAAAATAAGTCTCCTGAGACGAAATTATTCTGGAGGGCCCACTGCATCGTATATGAGGAATGAGGACATGTCACCCCAGATTTATTCAAGAGGGAGCAGGAGAGTTTCCAATTCAAGATTTGAGAGAAAAAATGATTTTCTTGCTCTGATTCTTGGCAGAAAATGGGGTAGATGAAGCCCCTGAGCAGGCAATGTTGGGAAGTTTGTTCCTGTCCTCTGCCTGCTAGGCCCACTGGCACCTGGGGGCGGCGTTGGGAGGTGGTGGGACTGGGGGCGCAGGGCCAGGATGGGGAGACCCCTTCCAAGGTGGGAAAAACATTCTGAGAAAAAGGCAAAAGGGACAAAGGCCAGCAGTAATTAGACGCCCCCGACCTGAGGAACTCTGGGCAGGAACTGCCCCTCGGGCCACACGAGAAGTGTGCTCTGGGGCTCGGTGCAGGGGGACCCCTGAAGTATAGGGCTAGGTGGGGAGCTGTGCTGTGGATGCAATGGGGATCAGCTCAGTGGGGGCGAGGGGCCTGGCTTCTGCACCCCTGCTGCATGTGAGCTGCCCCCAGGCAGGGGGTGACCGCGGCCCAAGAGTGTCCTTTCAGCTGGGGCTCAGCCCACAGGCATCCAGGCAGCTGCCCTGTGTCCCCTTGCGACCCGTCCAGGACCTCATCCCTTCATCACAGATACTGGATCTTGTAGGACTTCCAGCAGCTCTGTCTCCATGGCCCAGGCAGAGGGCTGGGCCCCTCGCTCTGTCCCCCTCAGACATTTTATCCAAACCACCCTTGGTGGAAGAGGCTGCTAAAAATGGGCCAAGAAATTATAAGATTTATGTAGAGGTAGCTTAGGTATAAAGGCCTGAAGCAGAATTTTAACCATCAGAATTAACCTGATGGCAAACGTGAGGCAAGAAAACAAATTCTGGCAAAACTGGTCCCGTGGGGGCTCTGTGCACGAGACAGTCAGCACTTCGGGCTCAAAAAAGTTCCCCACATCCACAGAAAATATTCTATTTCAGCTCTCCTTTGGCAGAAAGGAGAGGTAATCTGCCACGCACTCTCTGAGGTTTGTAAAGGCAACACCGAAAATGTTCGATTAAAAAAAAAAAAAATATATATATATATATATATATATATATATATATATATATATATTTTAAATCTGCTTTTAAAATCTTAGGTCTGTAAAGATGCCTATGTGTATCCCGAATCACGCAGTCCCTTTCTGAGATGTGAGATGGTGAGAAGTATCCTGCAAGCTTGGTAAAGGGCTTGGGGTCCTCTGTGGTGACCCTCGGGGGCTGCTGCGGTGTAGGAAGGGGTGCATGGGGAGCGGTGCCCTCCACGCCCACTGGGGCCTGTCTGGGACCCAAAGCTGATGGAAAGGTGAACCATCTGGGAGGGAGAAGCGAGAGCCCAAGGCCCTCCTGATCCCGGAGGGCCCTAACGTCAAACTAATGCCACCTCCAGAGATATACCCCGGCAGTACAGTTTGGGAACATGTGGGAATGTCCCCTCCAGTGCCTGACTCGGGGAAGGGTCATTAACATGGAGACATGGGGATGAGAGATCTCTGTCGGGCTGCCTTAGTGTGAGGTGTCTGTCTGCAGGTGTAGACGAAGCTCCGTGTTAGGGTCGGCTGCCTGGCCCCGGCCCCGTCTTCCCCGCCATGTGATGCCTGTAACTCAGCTGCTGGTGGTGCACACCCGCTCCGGGACGCTCTCAGGGCAGCCAAGCATGTAGACCGTGTGAAGTGGAGGGTGAGGAAGGAGCTGGGTGGGCTGGAGCCAGGTGCAGTGTGGGGCGGGGCTCCTCCTGTGGGATTCCCCGGGAATCCCTTCCAGGTGGGCATCTTTCTACCTGCCTGAGTGTCACGAGAACGTGGGCTCATTCTTCAGACCTGGGGACCCAGGGTCCCTGGCCTGTGGCACAAAGCCCTGGGGAGCGGGGATGGTGGGGAGGCCTGCGAGGCAGTTCCAGGTGCTCCAGTGTCAACTTGGTTCAATGGTTCATCCCAGGCAGAGGCTTCCCGCAGCCTGCCACTTTTCTTCCTGGCGCACGCTGCAACAACAGGCTATGTGTGTGACCCCCCCCCCCCGTGGCCCCCCAGGGGAGGCTTGAGAATGTGCGGGGCATCCTCTGAGCCCGGCATGGACTTGATGGAGTAAGAACCGGCAGAAGGTGAAAATGGGCTCAGGATGCATTTGCTTAGTGCCTTCTGGGTGCCAGAGCCTGGCAGTGCGGAGGAAGTTAGAGTCCAGCCCTGTCCCCCAAGAGCCACAGTGGACGGTGAGAATCAGCCAGTACAGTGTGAGTAAGGCCGGGGGAGCTCAGAGTCAGGCACATCCAGGTTTGGACTGGAATGTGCCAAGGAGTCACAGGTGAGCTGCAAGCAGGAGGGTGGCAGGATCAGAGTTCTTCTCCCCTCCTGGGCTGCTGAATTGGGCAGGGTGGCCATGTGCAGGTGTGTAGATTGCTCACTGAACAAGGAAGGCTAATTCACACAAAGGTTCTATATGGACAAATGGAGGCTCTCCTGGGAAGAAGAGAGGGGGAGGAATGGCTAGCAGAGAGGGTGGCCTCTCGTCAGATACTGGTGGGGTGGGGGGGTCCCAGAGGGGAAGTGCAGGGGGAGGGCAGTGCACAGTGTGACCGGTGTGTGTGTGGGGGGTGACAACGAGTTAATAAATACAGCCTAAAGGAGACATCGTGCCCACGTGCTGAGGGCTGAAGGGGAAGGCACTATGAAGTACAGCCAGGCAACAAGGCGGGACAGAGCTGCTTAGGGAAGGTGACATCAGAACGGAGACCAGAATGATCCCTGGGAGTAAGCGATTCTGGCATGTGAGGGAAGGGTTTCCCTGCAGGGAACAGCAAGTGCAAAGGCACTGAGGCAGGAATAGGTTTGGTGGCTTTGGGACACAGAAGGAGCCTGGGGCAAGTTGTGTGTAAGGAGTAAGTGACGAGGCTGGAGGCAGAAGGCAGGAGTCTGGAGGCAGGAGGGTAAAGGCAGGAGACTGAAGATAGGCTGAAGGCAGGAGGCTGGAGGCAGGAGGTTGAGGGCAGGAGGCTGGAGGCAGGAGACTGAAGGCTGGAGGTAGCAGACTTCAGGCAGGAGGCTGGAGACTGGAGGCAGGAGGCTGAAGGCAGGAGGTAGGAGGCTGGAGGCAGGAAGCAGGAGGGTGAAGGCAGAAGATTGCAGGCAGGAAGCTGGAAGCAGGAGGCTGAAGGCAGGAGGCTGGAGGCAGGAGGCTGAAGGCTGGAGGCAGGAGGGTGAAGGCAGGAGGCTGGAGGCAGGAGGCTGAAGGCAGGAGGCTAGAGGCAGGAGGCTGCAGGCAGGATGCAGGAGGCTGAAGGCAGGAGGCTGGAGGCAGGAGGCTGAAGGCTGGAGGCAGGAGGCTTAAGGCTGGAGGCAGGAGCCTGGAGGCTGGAGGTAGGAGGCAGGAGGGTAGAAGCAGGAGGCTGGAGGGAGGAGGCTGGAGGCAGGAGGGTGAAGGCAGGAGGCTGGAGGGAGGAGGCTGGGGGCAGGAAAGATGGCCAGGGCCAGGAAAGAGCAGGCCTTGATTGGTTTCTAAGAGCCATGTGATGCCATTTGGAGGTTTTATTTTAATAAATTTTGATTTTGAAATAATATTAGATTAAGAGAGAAGCTGTGAAAGGAGGACCTGTCGCTTAGACCGTAACCCGGACCTTCCCAGATACGAGCCTCTTGGTGCACCTGCGTCTTCCTCCCACCCCCACACTGCTGTTCCCGGGAGAGTTGAGACCCTGCCTTCCCTGTGCATGGGACCGTCCCCTGGGTCGGGGGACAGGACGTTCGCAGTGGTGGACGGGAACACGTTCATGCCCGTGCAGCCCCTTTATCTGCCCTGCACACCGCACTCAGCTGGCACCAGCTGTCGCGGCCTCATCCTTTGGGGCAAACACAAGCAGGTGTGTGCCCCAGGAGGCTCAGAGGCTGTGGGTGCCCTCAATCCCCCTGCCCCCGGCCCCAGCCCACTTTGATTCCACTCCTTTTCTGGTTTTTTGTCCTCATGACCCTGGCGGTGTTGAAGAGCTCAGGTGGGGCAAGCCCCGATGGGTTTTCTTTCTGATGTGTCAGCAGGTTTGTGTCCTGGTCCCTCCAGCAGGCATGGCCGTCTGTCCAGGGCAGTGTCAGGGGGATCCTGCAGCCTGAAAATGCTTTCCCCTCCGGGCCTGAGTAAGTATCTGGGTAGGGACACGGGTACTCGGGGGCGATGTCAACATCCTGCTTCTGGTCACAGTTCTGCCCACTGCTGTCGCCACCTGCTGACAATTCTTGCCCCCCCCCCCAAAAAAAAAGGACCCCGATGATTGTCAGATGGTGGTTTTCCCAATTCCATCATCTGTCTTTATCAGTTGTCATTCTGCAGAGACAGGCTTTCCGTTTTCCCTTCCATGTGTCTGTGCAAACCCGGACTCATGACTGATTTAATGTGTTGTACTTAGTTACTAACACTTCTGTTGTTGTTGTTTTTGGAATTGTCACGGCTTTGGCCAGGAGGATTTTGGAGAGTCTTGACGAGGGAGGATCACAATTCGATTCCGGTCTTAAGAAGACCCCTGTGAGCCCCAGACAGCCGCTGCTGGGCACATCCCGCGGCGGCGACAGCTGGGACCAGGGGTGAGGGCAGGGGCCGGCACAGACGTGGAGCAGCTGCAACCCTCGGACGTCACCGGTGGGAACACACGGTGTTGGTGCAGCTGTCTGGAGAGCAGGTGCCATCGAGGCCCTCTGTCACTTCGCGGGTTCTAGAAGCTTGTCCATAGGACGGCGCGGGGCTCTTCTCTTGTGCCTGGCTTCTTGTACCTGCGGTGCTATTTTTGAGACGTCGCACCCTCATCAGGTGTGTCAGAAGCGGGCTCCTTCTTGTGTGTCTGGCAGTGCCGGAAAGACCAGAGTTCTTGAACGCGCTTGGCTGCCCACACGCAGGCTGCTTCCCACTTGGGGTTCTTATGAACATGGTCGCTGTGAGCTCTGCCATGACAGGTCACAGTAACTTCTCCTGGGTTCACACTCGGGGGTGGAATTGCTGGTCACATGATTGCTGCAGGTTTAGCTTTTATAAAACTGCCCTCCTGTTGTGCAAAGTGGCCCTGGGGGTGGCACACCAGCCCTGTGACCTCAGGCTGGGGCGGGCCGAAGGGTCCTCCCTGCCCCCTCCAGTGTGCTGGACAGACCCTTCGGGGAAACACATGGGGTCCTTCCCCCTGGGCCCTCTTCGGGGCTGCAGAGTGGCGTTCGGGCCGCTAAAGAAAAGAGGCCCCGGTTATGAAGGACTTGCCACCCACACAGGGCAGCAGAGTGGCGGAGGCTGGAGACCTGAACACACTTAGGAAGTTCTAAAGCCCCTCTTTCCCTTGAGCTCTGATTCAGCAGCTGCACTGGGACCCCCGCCCAGGTGGGCTGGTGCCGCCCTAGAGGGGCAGGTGCAGTGGGCCTGGTGGGGGGTGGGGACGTGACTTCCAGCCTTCACAGCTGTCCCCCGGGGCTCCTGTGTGCACAGAATCTGCCCCAGGGTCGGTTCTGCCCCCAGCCAGTCTCACCCTTGACAGGTCAATCAGATCGGAAGCCCTGGGGGTGGGCCTCGGGGCTCCCGGTGGTCCTAATGCCCAGATAGGTAGACACCCACCAGCCGTGGGGCTGCCCCCTCGAGCTGGCCCCAGGGTACCCGGCCTCCCTGGGCCACAACCCAAGAGGCTGCCCCGCCTGCGGGCACTGCCCACTCAGCCTCTGCTGTTGCGGAGTGCTGGGGATCCCTGGGAGAGCAAGGGGCCGGCCCTACTGGGAATTTAGCTTCTGGGCTGGTTGAGGCTCCAGGAAGAAGAGAGCACAGAGGCGGTTACCATCCAGGTGAAGTTGGTACCCTTTCTGTGGCGGGGAGACAGGCTGGGTTTGATTTTTTATGTGGAAGCTAAGCAACCAGGTGAGGAAGGAGCTTTGCCCGCAGGCGGTCCTGCAGAAGGGCCCCAGGGCTCAGAAGCAGGGACAGAGCCACCTGCCCTCCCAGACAGCTGTTCTAGTCATTCCTTTCTTTTGCACACTCATTAGAGGGGCAGTGGACACGTACGGTGCAGCCTCCCTCCTAGCGCCAGGACACCCATGGTGTACGGACCAGCTGCATGGTGCAGCCGGCCTCCCGCACGCTCAGCCCCCTCCCCAGCTCCGTGAACCGACTCCACGTCGATGGTAACCTGTTGTGAGTCCGTGCTCCTGCTGCTTCCTGTAGACCAGACCCCACTCAGCAGCAGGCTGTGCTGCAAGCACCCCCTACCCTCGTTCCCACTCCCATGACACAGGACAGCCATCATGGCCCACTCTGGGAAATGAGTCCTGGGGTGATTTCATCAAGCCCCGCATTGCACCTGACACCCAAACCTGCCTGGTGACTCAAATCTTTCTTCCAAATTCTCCCTGGATTACTTTTCATGTCTGCAGAAGTGAAATCCTCCTGGACAGCACCGCCGTGTGCCAACTCACAGGGCCCAGAGGGCCACCCTCCAGAGTGGGCATCTTTCTCAGGGGTAGGGTGGGGGGAAGGATTTGATCTCTAGTCTGCTAAAATATTTGAATTTTATTCCCCAACTTATAAAAGTAATATGGTCTTCTTGTGGAAGATCTAAAAGGTAGTGGATGTGTACAAAAGAGACCTAAAAGCACTGAGGATGGGCAACCGTTTCTAACCTCCTTGTACTCCCTTGGAGGCCCGAACTTTTCTGTAGTGAAAGAGTTCAGCTGGAAGCAGGGAGAGAAGCACCCAGGACAGGGCTGGGCTGTGGGGATCTGGAGCAAGAGTGACCCCGGGACTGGCCAGGGCTCCCCAACCGGCTGGTCTGGTGGCACCAGGGCCATGGGCGATGGCCATGGGCAGGGGCCACTGTTCCTATGTGACATCATGATTAGTAGTAAACTTTCGATCAGTGACAAGGGTGCAGGGAAGGAAGAGGAGCGATGTGTAACCCACCTCCTCCCTCTGGCCCCCATTGGATGATCCCAACCAGGGGGAGGGGAGCCCAGAATCCAAGGGCAGGGAGAGAGGATGGTGGACACAGAGGTGGAGGGGAAGCATCCGGCTCAGTGGTCGAGTGTCAGACTTCTGATGAGGTCTATGGTTGTAAGAGCATTTTGGGAAGGAGAATGGCAGGTTCTTGTTTGTGTTTTAGAAAGGTCAGCTGGCTGCTTGGATAATAAATCCGGGTGATGGGAGCGAGGTCCAGGACAGTTGGGAGACCACCACCGTCACTCCGGAGGACGAGGGAGCACAACGTTGTTCAAATGGGCTCCAGTCGCAGGGTGTTTGTTTCTGTAGGGTGCAATGCTCTCTCCTGGATGGAGCCCCAGGGCTGGCTGTGCAGATGCATCAGGCTTTATCCTACAACAGCTCTGTGGCCTCTCTGGGCCACTGTCCCAGGTCGTTGCTCACTTTGACGAGCTTCTCTCAAAAAGCTGCCACCAGCCTTTGCTGCACCCCAGAGGCTAGGTCCCCTGGGCTCCCCCACAACCAGCAGCTCTGTCCCCACTGCTCCAACTCAGCTCCTGGGGAAGGAGTCTGGCTGGCAGGGGTTGTTTTTCCAACCCAGACTCCCAGTCACAGGTCACAGGTCAGAGACGGCTCTGGGGCTGGCTGGCTGTGCTTGGGTCAGGTGTCTACTCCAATCAACTAGCTTAGAGGGTGGATGGCCTTGTAGGGAGAGGCCAACATCCAGAAGGAATGCTGGGTAATAAAAGGTTAGCCACTTGGGAAATGGAGTCGAGCATTAGGTGCCCAGCAGGTATCTGGGACTGAAAATGACCCTGAGCAGACCAGACCAGCTCCTTGTCCATCATCACTCACCATTCCCATTGTCACCTATCCACACCCATCCATACTGTCACCTAAACCAAACCCCAAGGTGGGGGTGGGGGAGATTACAAATGAGGATGGTGATTGCTTCTACCCCATATACCTGCTCCTTTCAAGGTGACTTTGCTGCTCCTCCCACCCAGAACTGGGGTCTCTTTCCACCCCTTGACTCTGGGCTTGGCCATGTGGCTTGCCTGGGCTGATGGGTGTCAGCAAATGAGATGTGGTCAGAGGCTTGAGTGTCCATGCACGTTGGAGCTTGCTGATCTTGCTGGTCTCGGAGCTCTGAGACCCCTGTGGGAAGAAGACCCCCCAGGCTGGCAGAATGACGTGTTACTGACCCCAGAGCAGGAAGGAGCTGTCCCAGCCGAGGACACCTCAATCGTCTGGCCACTGGCCAACCGACCTGCCATTACCAGATTTAAATCTGAGTCTGCTCTCTGTAAGAAAAAGTATGATGCTGGAAGATACATGCAGAACATTTCACTATTTTTAATCTTATTTATTTATTTATTTATTTATTTATTTATTTATTTATTTATTTATTTAAAGAAATTTTATTTATTCATGCATGAGAGACTTAGAGAGAGAAAGGCAGACACAGGCAGAGGGAGAAGCAGGCTCCATGCAGGGAGCCCGACATGGGACTCGATCCCGGGTCTCCAGGATCCCACCCCGGGCTGAAGGTGGTGCTAAACCGCTGAGCCACCGGGGCTGCCCTAATCACATTTTTTAAAGGATTAGTTGTTGAGTTCTGTCCAATTCCATTTCATAAACGTCACAATTCATCCATTATTCTTCTACCGGACAGATTATGAATGTTCCAGCACACGTCCCCATGCTTGCACACTTTGGGGGAGCACAGCAGGCACTTCCTTACTGCGAGTAGCCACTGCCAGCTTTCCAAAGGGCTCACACCACTCACACTCCCACTGGCCAGGCAGGGCGGGGGGGTCCCAGCAGACCTGCATCCTTACTGACACTTGTTACTGCTGTCTCTTTGTCTTCAGTGCCCCCAGGGGACGCGATGTGTTTCCGCCCCTGAAACATTCCCCTCTGCGATTCCTAGAAATGTCCAGCGCTTTCTCAAGTGGGTCTGTGGTTGTCAGAAGCGCTCTTGGGTAAAGACCCCATTTGAGTCTCTTGTCCATGTGTACACTGTGTTGATGATCTTTTTCTCACTGATTTATTTAAAAAAATTTTTTTTAGATTTTATTTATTTATTCATGAGAGACACACACAGAGAGAGAGAGGCACAGCCATAGGCAGAGGGAGAAGCAGGCTTCTCGTATAGAGCTCAATGTGGAACTTGATCCCAAACCCTGGGATCATGACTTGAGCCAAAGCCAGATGCTCAACCACTGAGCCAACCAGGCATCCCTTTTCCTATCATCCTTTAAAATCTTTATATTTTTGCCTTTCGTGTTTAGTGCTACAGGCCATGTGGGACTGGTTTTTGTGTACACTGTGTGAATTACGGATGACATACATTTTTAAAACTATGAATATTTCTTTGTCCAGAACCACTAACTGAAGAAATATTTCCTCTCCAATGTTCTGCAATGCCACCTTTGTCATAAATCAAGTACCCACTTAGGCAAAGACTTGTTTCTAAGCTCCATCTTATATTGCCAAACCACGTTGTCTCAGTTACTTAATTACTGTCTTAATTATTCATTCAGCAGCTGACGGACAGTCTAATTTGGGGCAATTACGCAGCCATTTGAGTATGGCTTCTTTCGCTTAGCGTAATGCATTAGAAATCCATCCACAATTCTACATTTCCTACTGATTTTTTCCTTTTAAGTTTTGGATAGGCAATTGCTGATGTACCACGGTAGGTTTGTCATTCACCAGCTGATGGACATTTGGGTGGTTTTCAGTTTCAGGCTGCTACAAACAATGTTGCCATAAACTGTACAGAACATGGTATGCACCGGTGTTTCCCTCTCTCGGGTAGATATCAAAGAGTGAAACCATTGGGTCGTTGGGTACATTTTTACGAAATTGCCAAATTGTTTGCTATGGTAGCTGCGCTCCGACCAGCAGTGAGAGTTCTAGTCTCTCCATGCTCTCCTCTGCTCTCCGGATGGTCGGCGCACACGTGCGGGGGGTTTCAATGATTCTGAGCTGTGTGCAGCAGCATCGCAGCGTGGTTCCAGGCTGTGTCTCCTAAGGACGAGAGGTGCTGAGTCTCGTTTTGTGCGCTTATCTGAAGCCCCTGTATCTTCCTTAGTGAATCTTCCCCCACTTCTGAAGTTAACAATTTTTTTTTGTTTTGTTTTCATTCGTACTTTGAAGTTCTTTTACATCCTGGATACGGTGCTCTTATCAGATATGTGTTTTGCCAGTATTTCCCCTCTCCCCCGGTCTATGGCTCCTCTTTTCACTTTCTTAACAGTACGTTTAGAAGAGCTGACATTTTTCATTTTTTGATGAAGTGTATTTTGCAATATTTTTCTTTTATGATTTATGCTTTTGATGTCAGATCTGAGAAATCTTTGCCAGAGCCGTTAAGATTCTCTCCTATGTTTTCTTAAGGAGGTTGGAGTTTAAAATTTTACGTTGGGTCTATGACCCACTCCAAGTTAACTCCTGTAGGTGGTTCAAGATGTAGGTCAAGATTCTTTCTTTTGGCATATGGGTAGAGCTAATAGTCCCGGCCCCATTTTTTGAGAATGCTGTCCTTTCTTTCTTTCTTTCTTTCTTTCTTTCTTTCTTTCTTTCTTTCTTTCTTCTTTCTTTTCTTTTCTTTTCTTTTCTTTTCTTTTCTTTTCTTTTCTTTTCTTTTCTTTTCTTTTCTTTTCTTTTCTTTTCTTTTCTTTTCTTTTCTTTCTTTTCTTTTTATGCTGTCCTTTCTTTGTGAAGTTGCCCTGGCACTTTTGTTGAAGAGCAGTTGGTCATGTGTGTTTTATGTCTGCGTCTGCGTTCTCTATGGCCTTCCCCTGATGGATGTGCTCACCCTCCCACCAGTACCACGTGGTCTCATTTGCTGTCCTGACACCAGGTAGGAGGAAGTCTTCACCTTTGTGTTCCCTGGTCTGTCTTTGAAACAGCTTGTGGATTTTTTTTTAAAAACTTCTTTTTTAGAGGAATTTTAGGAATATTCAGGATGTACATTTGTATCAGTTTTGTCAAGTTTCATTTTTCATAGAATGTGTCCATTTAATGTAGTTTTCAAGCCTTTTGGCCTAAAGTTGGGTGTAATATCACTGTGGATCTTTGGCACTCTGAGATTTGAAGCAATGGCCCCTTTCCATTTTTGGTGTTTGGTTACCTTCCCTCTGTTTTCAGTATTGACCTTCTCACCATGGGTTTATCAGTTTCCTCCTCCTCCTCCTCCTCCTCCTCCTTCTTCTTCTTCCCAAGTGTTTTGACTTTGTTAACACTTTCTATGAACTGCTTTTCTAGTGCATTCATTTCTATTATTTCCATTATGCCTTCCACTTTCTTTGGGCTTAGTTTACTCTTTTTTTCAAGTCTTTTTTTTTTTTTTTTTTTTTTTAGAATGAATGCTTAGTCATCAATTTTTAGCATTTCTTTCTTTTCTTTTTTTAAGATTTATTTATTCATAAAAGACACACACACAGAGGCATAGACACAGGCGGAGGGAGAAGCAGGCTCCCCGTGGGCAAGCCTGATGTGGGGCTTGATCCTAGAACCCTGGGATCATGACCTGAGCCAAAGGCAAATGCTCAACCACTGAGCCACCCAGGCATCCCAATTTTTAGCATTTCTTATTTATTTCTACATACTTCCTAAGGTTATAAATTTCTAGGCATGACTTAAGTAAGCTGCATATCAAGTTTTTTTTTAATGATTGATTTATTTATTTATTTATTTATTTATTTATTTATTTATTTATTTGAGAGACAGAAAGAGAGAGCACAGGCAGGGGGAGTGGCAGAAGCAGGCTCCCCACTGAGGAGGGAGCCCGACTCAGGGCTCCATCCCAGGACTCTGGGACCATGACCTGAGCCAAAGTCAGATGCTTCACCTGCTGAGCCACCCAGGTGCCCCTGCATCTCAAGTTTTGATATATTAAATTTTCATGATCAGTTAAAAATATTTTTTTAGTAATTTTATAGTAATTTCCAAGCATGGTCATTTCTGAAATTAATTTAAAAAATGTTTCCAGCTTAGTTTTGTTATTTTGGTTATGTGTTGCTTTTGACAAAGTACCCCCCAAACAGTGTCTTAAAATGACAACAGCAAATGGCATTGATTTTGCTCATGACTCCAAGTTTGGGTGGAGCTTAGTAGGCGGGACTCAGAGGCTGGGGCTGAATCATCTGAGGTCCATCCTGTCTGCCACTGGGGGCTCTCAGGCAGAACAGGACCCCTGCATGTGCCCTGAGCTTCCTCATAGAATCATGGCTGGTTTTACCAGTGAGATCTTTCTGAGAGAGAGCCAGGTGAAAGTGGTTTCACCTTTTAAACTCTACCTCAGGTGTCCCCTTGCATCAGTTCCACTGGCCACAAAGACCCACCAGGTTCAAAAACAGCGAATTAGGTTCCTCTCTCAATGGGAAATGCCAAGGTTCTGAAAAATTCCAGAAAAGAACTAGCGTTGCAGCCATTTTTGGAAAATACAATCTATTGTATTCATTGTAGTCAGACGATATAGCCTGTATGATAACAGTCCTTTCACATTTTTTTGAGACTTTATAGATTAAGTTTTGGGAGCATTTGAGAAGTACATGTACCCTATAGTCATAAGAAGTAATAAAATGTCAGTCAATTTCGTTCCCTATGTTGATCAATATCTGAACTGATTTTCTGTCTGATTGTTCTAATATGTTACAATCTCCCATTATGATCATAGGTTTCTCTATTTTTCTTTGTTTATTTGAAAGTTTTTGCTTTATGTATTTTGCAACTATTTTATTAGGTGCATAAAAATTTAGACTTGTTACATATTCCTGATAAATGGATTGTTTTGTCAGCATGAAGTGGTTCTCTTTATCTCTAGTAATGCTTTTTGTTTTAAAGTTTTTTTTTTTTTTCTAACGTTACTATAGCAGCTTTCCTTTGGTTAGCATTTTATGCTATCTTATCTGTCCTGGGACCTTCAATCTTTCCAGATGCTTGTGTCAGGGGTATATTTCCCACCCTCCCACCCCATCCCAGTGATAATTCCAGGTTACTTACTTTGAGTAACTTATTAAGGTTATTTATTAAGTACAAATAATTTAAACAAACCCATCCAGAAGAGTGAACTAAAAGGACACATTTTACTAGATTTTTATGTATTTTTTAAAATTTATTTTTATTTATTTATTTTAGTTTTTTATTTTTAAAGAAAAAAAAAAGAACCGGGCACGTCTCCTCTTTTCTGGCTGCTTGGTATTATGCTTGTTTGTATAACAGCCTTGAGGGAAAACAAATGATTTTTCCTTGCTGACACTTCACAGAAGGAAAGTGATTCAAAGATCATCTATGTCTACAGACAGATGGGGACTCCTGGCTCTGGGTGCCCCCTGGTGGACCCTGTGAAGCTTGGAGGCGAGAAATTGTACCAGGATGGAGACAGAGATGGAGACGGGAGGGAAGCTCCTCCAGGACAAGGAGGCTGAACTTCAGAAGGACTCACAGGAGCCAGAAATCTCAAGCCAGGCCAGTATCCTGAGGTGTGAGCCATCCACTCCAGCCCGAACCCCAGGGCCTCCTCTTGTGGAAACGACTTACATGTCGGGTTTCCAGGGACTCTCTGATAGGAATGCTCTTTTGTGGTTATATTCGAGGTAAAAGGCCCAGCTTAAAATTTCCCTCCCAGCAAATTCATCCAAACCTTGTGAGTGGAAGAGGCTGTTGAAAATGTGTCAAGAATGATAAAGCTCAGCCAAAAAAAGGGAACCTGAGAGAGTTCTCCTATATTGATGGAGACAATGAGGAAAATGAGGACGTGAATGGGGTGGGGATCGCCTGCCTTGAACCACTGCCACGTGCAAATGACCTGTCCCATGGGACTCCTTGCTGCCAGGTATGTGCTCTGCCAAGTGATTTATGAAGACCGGCCTGACGGCGAGTACATGAATCCCTCTAACCAGACTCAAAAAAGATCCAGGGTCTAGGAAAAGTATTCCCTCTAAACCAGAGGTTCTCGATGGGAGGTAGTAGGACCTCCTGGGGACATGTGGTCACATCCAGGGACACTGCTGGCCGTCACAACTGGGGTTGCTGCCCACATTTGGCATCCAGTGACCGGGGACCCCAGCATGGGAAGTCATGCAGCCCCACTGGGAGGAAGGCCGTGGCTGGGGACACTGCTTTCAGTGAATCTTTCAGGAAAAGCAGAGTAGCAATGTGAATTTTGGCAGGAAGAAATATAGAGGGTTTTATAGTTTTGTGTAAAAATATGTTTATTATCAAGGAAAGAGCTCCCCTCCCCCACTGAACTACCGCCTCTTAGAGTCTCTTGGAACTCAAAAATCATGGTTGCTCGTCTACCGTGATGATTTAAGGCAACAGGAGAATTAATTGGTTTAAATGTTCCAACCTGAAGGAGAGTTTTGGTTGATGGATGCACATCTGCCACACAGAAGGCGCTTAATAAATATTTGTAGGATAAATGAAGGTGTGCAATCCTGGCTGGCATGGGGAAAAGGCAGGAGTGTGAGATCCAACTCCCAATGGGGGACCAGTAACCCTCCCTGCTCCCACAGCTGGACAGCAGGGTGCGAGCCCTCCCATGGGAGGATGCGGCAGGCCTGGAAAACCCTCTCCGAGCTCCACAGCTCCCAACTTCAGAGCAATAATTAAAAAATGCTCTCTGGAGTAGGAATTTTTTATTAATATATTTCAGCACAAGTGCTTCCCTCTGTTAAGTGTCTTTTACAAAAGTGTGTCATCCTTCCTCATAGAAAGTATTCTTAGGACATGGTAGTTAGACCCTCTGCCTGGGGTTGTAAAATCTCACAGGCCAGCTGATATCCAGGGCTCTGGTGGGGAGAGGAGGGCAGATGGCTAAGATGCGAATGCAGGCAGGTCGTAAAATCCAGTGTGTGTGTGTGTCTGCGTGCATGCACATGTATGCACACGTGAGCGTGCATGCATGCTGCACACATGTGTACACACCTGTGCATGTGTGTGTGTATGCAGGTCATAAAGAAATGCAAATTATGATCCAAAGGTTCACTACATGGGTGGTGTGGTTAATGTGCATGCGTGTTCATGCATGTGCACGTGTGAAGGGGAGAGCTTCCCCTTCTAGGTGGCTGATATGGGATCGTGCCAACCTGGAACCCTGTGGCCATGTGGCGAAGGCTCATTTGCAGAGGGAGGGACAGAGAAGGAGGGAGACAGAAACGCCCCATAGCCTCTGCTTGGTCTCTGGACCCCAGCTCCCCGCTGCTGGAAACTTCCTTCCTGGGGTAAGCTGCTTTGCCTTGTCTCCACCTCTTGTAATGGAAAGTTCTGGCCAATAGACCTTTCCAGCAGATCCGTACTTCCTGAAGATCTTGACGTTCACCAAGTCCTTACATGGGTGAGCTCAGACATTTATAAGACATGAGTGTTTAGATAGAAAGCGAACCAATTTCAGGTTGTTCGAGACAGGAAGCCGTGGGACAGCTATCGGTCGATGAGTCCTGGATGTGACTGCTTCTGTGAAGGGTGCCACCTAGCTGGATGGTTTCACCATAACGTGTGGGTCCCTGCTGGGGGCAAGCCAGTGCTGGGGTCGTCCTGAGGCTGCGCTGTTGCAGTGCAGGGAGCACCTGCCATCCGCCTCTCCATGGGCTTGGGCCTCTCCCAGCTGTGGCCGGGTCCAGAGAGGGAGCTTCCAGGAGGAGCTGGCATTCCAGGAGCGTCTGGTGAGGGCTGCCCGGGTCTCGGCTGAGGGAGGAAGCAGCCAGAGCCCACCCCGCTCTGGGGAGAGGGACAGAGACCCCACCACCCCAAGGAAAGAGGGTCCCAGACTTCAGGGTCATGTTTTATTGCTGCCACACGTGAGCCCCTAAGACCTCTTCAAGCCAGGAATGTAGCTTCGTGCAAAAATTCCTAAGGAAGAGCACACTTCTGTCCTTTGTGTCGGGGGACAGTGGGGACCAGCTCTGCAGTGCTAGGAGTGCATGGTGACCTCTGGAATGCACCAGGAAATCTGGAGCTCTCCAGATCTTTACACCGCCCAGCCTTCAAGCTGGCTCCCTGCTGCCACCCAGAGAGAGTGCCGTCCAACTGTGAAAGCACTAAGAAAAACAAAACAAAACAAAAAAAACCAAGGCAAAAGTCATGAAACATAAATACAAACCTTTCTAAAAGACACAATTTGGTGGCATCTCACACATTCACCATGTTCCAGGACTACCTTCTGTGTCTGGCTCCGGAACAGCCATATCACTCCCTCCCCTCCCTGGGAACCACCCCTCGGCCTCTCCTCTCCAGGGACTGGCTGGTTCTGGACACTTCGTGTGCAAGGAATCATAGAGCACGTGGCCTCCGTGTCTGCTTTCCTGCCCTGGCATCGTGTTTCCAGGCTCGTCCATGGCTGAGTGATGCTCTGCTGGATGGGCAGGTCCTGTTGTGTTTATCCATCTGCCTGCGGAGGGACATCTGGATTGTTTTCAAATTTTGGCCATTGTGAATTGTGCTGCTCTGAAGGATTGTGTGGAGGTTTTTGTTCGAATGTCTGTTTTCAATTATTTTGGGAAAGCACTTGAGAGAGAGAGAGAGGTCTCTCTGTGGTCAGCACCAAGAATGTTTCTCTGAGGCAGCCCCACGTTGGGACCAGCATGTGTCCTGGAGAGAAAACTGTAAGCTGAATGCTCCTTGCACCTGGGACCAGGCCACATTTGTGGGAAGAGGCAGCTGGAACCTCTTGCAACATCTTCCAAGGGATCAGTTCTGTTTGGCTGGAGGTGCCCAGAGAAGCCAAGGCTGCTGTCCCATCTCTGCAGTGGGCTGGCCCCATGGGGCAGGGCTGGCCCCAGCATGGACATGGGCTGGGGTCTGCATGATCCGGGCTGTCCCAGGTTGGCTCCTGGGTGACCATAGGCCCCTCTGGGGGTAATCGGGGGGGTGGCAGATCACAGAAATCAAACGTCCAGCAGCTCAGAGGCCACCATTGGGACCCTCTTGGGAACAGAGACAGCCCCTGTGAGGATAGGCCTGCTGCTGGCCCTGAACCCAGAAGGCCTTGTGGGCTGGCAGGTGGTCACGCCCGTGGTGCCAGGGCCTGGCTGCTGAAGAGAGGCAGGAGAGCCTGTCCTGTGCTGTGGGGATGTCAAGGCTCGTGTAGGCAAGTGGGGCAGGTGGCTCATGCTTCACCCACATCTTTGCCAAAGGTGCTAGGTGCCAGGCAGGCTCTGGGGTCCGTCTACTGGCCTGTATTCCCAGGGTTGAAGCTCTGAGGAAGGGCCATGTGGGGACATGGCTGGGGGGGCGGCATCCCTCTACCAGCAAGAGAGGCTTCACCAGAAAACAAACTCACCAGCCCCCTGATCTGGGACTTTCTGGAGTCTGGAATGGAGAAAATCAAGTTCTGTAGTTTTAGCTGCCCCATCTGTGGGGTCTTTTATGGTACAACATGAGTTAATGGGCCCCTTCACCACTGGTGGCTGAGAGAGCCCTGGGCCCCTCAGGTGAACCCAGGGTGATTTCCCTGAGACTGAGAGGGACTGGAGCTGGGCAAGGGGGAGGCCAGGGTCCCATCCATATTTATTTAATGTTCTTTTTTATTTTATTTTATTTTTTTTAAGATTTTACTTATTTATCCATGAAAGACACACACAGAGAGAGGCAGAGACACAGGCAGAGGGAGAAGCAGGCTCCCCGCGGGGAGCCTGATGCAGGACTTGATCCTGGGACCCCGGGATCACGACCTGAGCCAAAGGGAGATGCTCAACCACTGAGCCACCCAGGCTCCCCTAACATTTGACATTTTGCCCAGAGTGGATACTTTTGCATTACCTTTGATTTAAAATTACATTAAACATATTTTAAAAATCTTGATGACTGAGTTTTCTGGTGTTTTAAATGATTCTGTGCTCAAGGCCAGAGCCTCACTGGCCTGACCTCATTCAGCCCCACCTCTGACGTTCCCTCCCGGTCCTGCAGCTCTGGGCATCAGCCAACAACATGATACTAACTTCAGGTGGACACATGTCATGATTCGATGTGGGTACATATGGCAAAATGACCAGGACCCTACCTCCCGTTACCACCTGCCGCTTCACATCCTTACACAACGTTTTATTCTCTTTGTGGCTTTCACATTTGCAGTGGGGTCTGATTCACGGTGGCTGTGATGCCCCAGGACCTGTTTGTCCTGGCTTGAACCTCTGACTCCCTGCCCCTGTTTTTCCGAGCCCCCCACCTGAACCCTCGCCGCCTCTTGCAGGGGTGCCGCTCCATCCTCACCTCGCCCAGGATGCTCAGGGGGGGTGCGCGTTCAGCAGGGGGCATTCACGCCTCCTTGGAGTGGGTGCAATGGGCGGGGTGGCTGTTGCTTCAGGGCTTGAAAAATCCAGCTCCAAGTAAGTGGAGCAAGAAACACCTCCTTCCCACGCTTCCAGATGGACCAGATGCTTCTCGTTTCATAAAAGCGCCTTTGCATTCTTTCCTGTTCGTGTCCTTGCCCCTGGTGGGCCAGCAGGGTCTTTGGCCCCTCCTGCTCCATGCAGCCAACGCAGCAACACCCTCCCCCCACCCAAGGGTCGCATACGCCCTGACTCGAAGACCACTTTTGTAAAGAAAATGCAAAGTGGCTCATGAGTAACGTGATAGATCACACCTGGTATTGACAACTCAGATATTTTGGCTGAATAGAATCCATTCCCAGAATTCCCATTCCCTGTTCTTCTTGCCTATTGATTGATTGTATTTTTAAAGATTTTTTTTGGTTTATTTGTGAGAGATACAGAGAGGGAGGCAGAGACACAGGCAGAGGGAGAAGCAGGCTCCCCACGGGGAGCTTGATGCGGGACTCGATCCCAGCACCGGGGATCACTCCCTGAGCTGAAGGCAGATGCTCAACCGCTGAGCTACCCAGGAGTCTTACCTATTTAAGTGTGGTTCCAGTCCCTCTCTGCAGGACGGTGCTGCACGGAGACCTGGGTGCTGCGGACACTGTGTTCTCTGTGCTTCCCAGAGTCAGGGTGCTGGTGCCCCCATCCCCCCAGAGCTGGCACCCCTAGTCCCTGTGGGTGTGGCTCTGCCCCACTCTCTGC